GAGAGCTTGACTGTGCTCAGGTAAGTGATCAGTTGGCAAATTGCAGATGCTGCATGGATGAGTCTACAGTCACTGTTCTTGGTTTGTTTGTGTGTATGTGTGTGTGTGTGTGTGTGTGTGTGTGTGTGTGTGTGTGTGTATGCGTGTGTGTACTTGTTGTGCTTTTTTCATCAATGCCAAGTATGAGACCAGACATAATTTTTGTTTTCACCTTCACTGTTTCATGGCTCCTTTAGGGAAGATTTCAGTAGACGTGCTTTTCCACCTCTCTCTTCCCCTTTTCCTATAGCCCACAGTATATGCTGGGCCTTGGTGGATCTCCCCTTGGAGGCCTGTGTGAACCACAGACCAAAGTGGACACCTTCTGTCTTAAGCCTGAAGGCTTGTGAGACAAGTGTGACCACAGAGCACTCTTCCAGCCAGACAGTCTGCTCTCGTTTGTATAGTTGGAGCTAATTCAAGGGTTGGGAATGTGTCTGCCAATTGTAACTAGGGAAGAAGATGGAGGGGGGGAGTAGGGAAGGGGCTGTGAATCTAGGAGGCTCTGGGAAGTGGTGAACGATGTGACATTGCAGATGGTTCCCCACTACCGAGGATGAGAGGGCAACCTTACCCAGGGCATTGAGGGTGTCCATGGGCATCTAGGCAGGGGGCTCTGGGACCCCACTGGTGGTGTGGATTCCCTCCTTGGGGAGTGCACTAGTTTGAAGTCCTCCCTGGCATCCTGCAGACTCTAATTTGTGTCCTGCCTGTGCTGTTTCTAGCTGGGCAGTGGTAGGCAAGTGCATTCCCCCTGGTGGAGCCTGCTCGATATCAGGCCGTGGCAGTAAGCTAGGGCTGGCTGAATGCCATTTTCTGTAACCTGCTCTGGGCTGTCTGGAAAGAAAAGGGGACCGCTAACTTTGGAACCCTTTAAGTTTTATTGGGACAACTGAAATGCCACCTTTTAGAGGGTTTTTTTCTTGAAGCTGGCAATTTCCACTAACAACTGGGATTATTGGTCAAATTAGACGGACCATTTCAGCCAACAATCAATGATGTTCAAAGTATCACAAGCAGAGTTTCCAAGCCAGATGGTCTCCTGCTATGAACGTCGTGCCTTGATTGCTTTCATGCGGCAGCTGTTGATTCTTCTCTGACTTTCTCTAGTGTGACCACCACGGTTGAGTGAAGGGTTAAAATACTTGAGGCAGTGACCATTTGTTGCTTGTTTCAGAGCAGAGCAACACATAATGCTAAACCACCTGGTTGTGTGCCTTTATAAGACCTGTAAATCCTTAGCTCAGGGCTCTCGTCCTGGGCTTCACTGTGTCAGAGTGTAGGACGAGACCCCAGCTGCAGCCTGTTTAAATAAAACAGCTGTAGAGTCTGACTCTTGGTGGTCTTCTTGGTGGGGGTCCTGCGACCTAGACATAACATTGAGGATGTCATGGGGAGAATTGTGACCTCACCATCCCTAGCCTGCCACCTGTGAATAGAGAGGATTCTCAGCACTTGCACTGGACTCTGGGAGATTCAGAAACCCAAAATGCCTCGAAGATCTCTGCAACATGAAACTTGGGGGCCAGATGTGGTGGGCCATCCTGGCTGGCCCCAGGGGTAGGAGAGTAGGACCCTTGAGCCTGGCCTTCAGCTCATGGCAACCTCATTCACTCCTGAGTGGGGAATTGAGTGCCACAAAGCTGGTCAGCCGCTGGCCAGAGATCTTTGAGAAGATAGTCATCCCAGAGGCCCTGGAATCCAGCGAGTACACAGTGTCTTCGGAGCCAAAACAGTTCAGTTCGGTGGCACCAGGAAGGTGGGAAGAGGGAGGAGGGAGAACTGTGGGAGAGCTACATCAGGCTTTGCCCCGCCCACCAGGATGCTTACCTGAATGGGATGGGATTTTCTGTAGTACTTTTGTAGACAGATGCTCATTTATTTATCCAACAAAGAGTTACAGTTTGCGCCAGGCTCTGGAGGGGTCATAGAAAATGAGAGGTTCCAGTGCTTGTTCCACAGCACATGAAGAAACCTTGGTTTGAGCCGGATGCCTGTGCTTCATGCCTGTCATCCTAGCTACATAGGAGGCTGTGATGGGAGGATCGATGCTTGAGGCTCAGGCAGGAAAACCTGTAAGAGTCTTATCTCCAACTAACTACCAAAAAGAAAACACCAGAAGTGGATGTGTGGCTCAAGCCGTACGTAGTCTGTTGGCCTTGAGTAAAAAGGCTCAGGAATAGCACTTAGGCTCCGAGTTCAAGGCCCAGTAGTGAGAGAAAGGAAGGAAAGAGAGAAAGAGGAGGGAAGGCTGGATGGAAAAAAAGAGGAAAGGAAGGAAGAAGGGAGAACATGTGAGCCTTGGATTGGAGTCCCTGGATCAAGTGAGCCAACCATTCACAATCTATGTGGGGACAATTTCAGACACTAAAGCCAGTATGTAGGACCAAGATACTGATACCTCTGCAACTTTCTGACATCCAGGAGCTGTGTGGTAGCCAACTACAGAGGTAAGCAATCTCTGGTAGACACTAGGACTCAGGGCGGTTCACCAGTTTTCAACCATCCTTCGCACCAATGAGTTTATTTTCTGGTCAGATAAGAACAAGCTGTCCAAGGTCTAGGGAGGTATTGGTGTGAGGCAGTGTTGGGGGGAGGCAAGGGATAAGCAAGAAGATGAAGAGGGAGGAGGATCACAGGTCAGGAATGTCAGGATATTGGAGCCATGACTTCACCTGACATCCTAGACCAAGTGTGATAGAGCCTTTGACCCAGCTACACTGCTATTAAGAGTCCTGGCATATTGGATTCACCATTGACCACCTATCTATTGTCCACTGCAGGATGCCTGTGCAGTACATCCTTGGGGACTGGGACTTTCCAGGGCTCAATCTGAAGTTGACATCCCCCACCCTATTCTTTCCTCCACCAGAGACAGAAGTAAGCTGGCCACTAGCACAGGGCAGCCAGGGAATGAGGGTGGGAGTAAGGACCCTTGTTTCCCCAGAATTCCTCTAGGGGGCACTAGGACCCCGTGATTGCTATTCTCAGAGGCAGAGATGGGTCTCTTTGCTGGCTCAGCCTTTAGTCTAAATGGCAGATCTGGGATTCAGAGAGGGCAGACTGAACGTGGGGCAGGTTTGGATAGAGGCTGGTTGGAAAACCAGAGGCACTGGTCTGTGAGCAGGGTTGTTTCTTTGAGAATACTCACACCCCAGGAAAATTCCTGGGATAGATCATCCCTATTCTTCTTCCTGAGAGAGAGACTTGGTACCCTTGAGTCTACTGACCTTGGCCGAGAAATCCTTTCATTCCCACATCCTGTGGTTGGATAATTAGACCTCACCTCCCTACCCAGTATAGAGGCAGGACAGTGAAAGATCTTGAGTCTTTGATAAGGCCAGGGGATCCTGAATATGCGATGGTACTTGAACATCCTAACTTGGTGCATGGTAAGTTCCATCTAAGATTACCATAATGTAGGACATAGAATCTAGAGAATCACAGCAGGATGGGGTCTGTTCTGGGAGTCTTGAGTACTATGTGTGAGCTTTCAGCTCCCGTATACCCACCTGCTTCCCTTTTTTGGGTGGGTTTTTGCTAGAAAAACTTGAAACTAGGAAGTGGGTCCTATCCCTTGTCATTTATATTCAAAGCTAGCGCTCTACCATTTGAGCCACAGCTCCACTTCCAACATGTTTGGGCATTTATAATTGGAGATAAAGAGTTCTCATGGACTTTGTTGCCAAGGGTGGCTTCCAACTGAAGTCCTCAGATCTCAGTCTCCTGAGGGGATAGGATGACAGGCATGGAAAAGTATGTTTGGCTGGGTGGCACTAGCTCTTGACTGTCATCCTAGGTACTCAGGAGGTGAGATCTGAGGATCAGTGGTCAAAGCCAGCCTGGGCAAGAAAAACTCTGAAGCTCTTATCTCCAACGAACCGCCAGATAAACAGAAGTGGTGTTGTGTTGTGACTTAAGTAGTAGAGTGCTCGCCTTGATCTGGAATGCTCAGGGACAGCACCCAGACCTAGGGTTCAAGCCCCACAACTGAAAAAAGAAAGAAAATAAAACATATTTGCCTGCAAAGGATGGTCCAGGTGTGCAAGGGATGAAGAGGGGGGTGCTGTGGTTTGGAGACCAGGTGCTCACCCCACTGTACAGACATTTCTAAGATCTCCCCAAGATTACCCCAACTTGAACCCACTGCTTCAAGAGGACATGGCTTGTGTCAGGCAGTGAGTGGGTGAATGGGTGCAGGGCTAGGATTGCTGTGTCTGTTTTTTCTCCAATAAAGGATGGATTTGGATGCTTGGTGACAAAGTCTGAAGTGAAGTGTTGCAAGGAGTTTGTGGCCTTATGAGATGGTTTTCCTCTGTGTATGTAAAGGTGGCTGAAACCGGAAGTCGCCAGTGGCTCACAACTGTCATCCTAGCTACTCAGAAGACTGAGATGTGAAGACCATGGTTCAGAGCAAGCTTGGGCAGAAAAATCTGTGAGACTTGATGTCCAATGGACCACCAGAGAACAGGAAGTGGTGCTGTGGATTAAATGGGAGAGTGCTTACCTTCAGCTGAAAATCTGAGGGACAGTGACCTGGCCCAGAGTTCAGACCCCATGAGCAACAACAAAAAAAGAGGTGGCTAAGTTTTCTACATAGCAGTGTGTATGGTATGAAATGCCATGCTGGTCTATGAGCCATTCCAGATATGTGAGAGGCTCAATGTTTTGTCTACAGTGGGTCTGAGGTCGGTAGTGCCACCTTCTTGTGGGTGGGATGTGATCCTAATGGAATGAGTTCGTAGTTTTGTTCTCAGGGACTGCTGAAGCCTTGAGCTGTCCCTGTGTGTGTGTGTGTGTGTGTGTGTGTGTGTGTGTGTGTGTGTGTCTGTGTGTGTGTGTCTATGTGTCTGTGTGGGTCTGCGTCTTTGTCTGTGTCTGTGTCTGTGTCTTTGTGTGTTTGGAAGTAGAAGAACTGGGCCTTGAATTCAGGCCATAGGTATTGTTCCTGACTTTCTGAGCTCAAAGCTAGTGCTCTGACACTTGAGCCACAGGTTCATCTCTATCTATTTGGTAGTTCACTGAGGATAAGAGCCTCAGAGCCTTTCCTGCATGGGCTGGCTTTGAACTGTGATCCTCAGACCACAGCCTCCTGAGTAGGTAGGATGACATACATGAAACATCTGTGCCGGATTTGTGTGTGTGTGTGTGTGTGTGTGTGTGTGTGTGTGTGTAGAAGTGGGTTGCAACAAGGAGCGCTGGACCCTTTGGTAACTTCTAACTGCTATCTTTGGGTGGGTGCATGAATGTTGTGTCTTAGGTTTGGGGGCCTGGAAGGGTGAAAGGCTTAAATTATAAGACCAAGGGATCTGTGTTCCCGGGAGCTGTCTACTCCCTTGTCCCTGGTTGGTGGCAGAGGGAGCTTGAGAGGACCTGGGAGTGGGGCCTGCATGGAGTGGCTCCCCAGAGGGACAGAGAGCATGGCCAGCACTTATTCAGGATGCCAGCTCTGTTAGTATGGAGCATACTGGATGGGCCAAACTCTGGGTCTTCTCATCATGAGGTCTGATGGGTGAGGCCAACCCTATTTTAAATCTTGACCTATCATCTTCAGATCTCAGCCTCCTGAGTAGCTAGGATTATAGGCATGAGCCTCTGGCACTAGGCCTCTGATTCTTTTTGGTATATTAGGGATTGAACTCAAGGCCTTAGGCTTGCCAGTCAGGTATTCTACCATGAAAGCCAAGCCTTTCTGTCTTGGGCATTTCTGAGATAGACACTAAATATATGCTCAGGCTGGGCTGGATCACAATCCTCCTGTGACAAGTGTGGGCCACCATGACTGGTTCTCTGTATCGGGATGCTAGACAGGTAGCACCACGTTTAATCATCAGTTTAGATGGATTGTCCCAAACTCTTAGTCCACAGCAGCTGATTCTTGACCAGAGTTGAAGCTCGGGGCCTTACCATCGGACCTCAGTATCCTCCTGGGACAGTTGTGAGGAATCAAGGGATCAATATAGGGGGATCACTGGGGCAGGGCCAGGCATAGAAGGAGTGGTTGCTAGATAGGGTTCTTCAAATTCTGTGAACATATGACAGGAAGATACCCTGCAAGGGCTCAGATGTGGCCTGTTGTTTATCATGCAACAGGTATGAGATTATGAAACAAAACATGGCTCTCTTTCATCCTTACCCTATCTGCATGTGGAAGGGGATCCTTCACTGTGTTCAGTTTTGCAGCTGGATAAAATGAGGCACGAAGAAGCTGGGTGACCTATTCATGACACCCAGTTACAGGAAGCTCAGCCTGACTTCTCTGCCATTCTCCCTATGGCAATGGATGCTATTCAGTCCACTTATTGTGGTGGAAAGTCCACTTCTTGTCAGTCCTGGGGCTTGAACTCTGGGCCTGGGCGCTGTCCCCAAACTCAGTTCAAGGCAGGTGCTCTACCACTTGAGTCCCCAGCACCACTTCTGGATTTCTGGTGGTTCTTTGGAGATAAGAGTATCACAGACCGTTCCTGCCTGCCTGGCTAAAAACCATGATCCTGATATGTCAGTTTCCTGTATAGCATTATGCCTGTGCCACTGGCATCAGTCCAATTCTTTCTTTCTTTCCTTCTTTTCTTTCTTTCTTTCTTTCTTTCTTTCTTTCTTTCTTTCTTTCTTTCTTTCTTTCTTTCTTTCTTTCTTTCTTTCTTTCTTTCTTTCTTTCTTTCTTTCCTTCCTTCCTTCCTCCTTCCTTCCTTCCCTCCTTCCCTCCTTCCCTCCTTCCCTCCTTCCCTCCTTCCCTCCTTCCTTCCTTCCTTCCTTCCTTCCTTCCTTCCTTCCTTCCTTCCTTCCTTCCTTCCTTCCTTCCTTCCTTCCTTCCTTCCTTTCTTTCTTTCTTTCTTTCTTTCTTTCTTTCTTTCTTTCTTTCTTTCGTTCTTTCTTTCTTTCTTTCATGTTTTCTTTTTCTCTCTCTCTCCCTCTCCATCTCTGTCTCTGTCTCTGTCTCTATCTCTCTGTCTCTGTCTCTGTCTCTCTCTCTCGCTCTTTCAGAAACTGGTTGAATGTGTCCTGGAGGAGGTGGCTCAGTGTCTCCATGTGTCTGGGACCCACGGTAACCCTCTAATTCTGGAGGTGGGCTGTGGGTCAGGAGCTGTCTTGCTCAGCCTGTTGAAATAACTCCCTGAGGTCCGCCACTCTGTGCCCGGGCTAGAACATGACGGTTATTCATTGTCCATCCATCCTCTGAGTACTTCCCCACTATCCTCTGCTAAGAGAGTTAAAGGAAAGTGGATGAGGAGGTATCGTGTTGTCCAACCGCCTAGCATGATCCTGGACCTCTGATCCTCACCGCCATCTATCTGGCCAGACCCCGGTTATAAGAAAATGAATTCACTCTGTGTCTACTTCGCTTTGCTGGGGTGTGTCATTTCAGGTAGGGGGGCGTGGTGCAGAGGAAAGACTCCAGACCTGGCAGCTCTTGAGGTACCTTTTTTCTTGTGACAGAGCCAAGTCATTGCTGTGGATAAGGAAGTAGCTGCCATCAAACTGATCAGGAACAATGCTAAAAGGTACGTAGGTGGGCTGTTGAAGTATCAAACACACCCATGATTACTTCCCACTCACAATAAGGGGGGTGGGGTGCAGTGCAGGTGGCTGGCACTGGCCCTAGAGGAAAATAAATGGATGGTGGCGTTCACATGCTGGTGGCTGCCACCCATCATCCTGGCTATTTGGGAGGCTGAGGCTGAGGTCTGATGGTCATGACTAAGAGCCAGCCCAGGCAGCAAAGTCTGTGATATTCTTATCTCCCAAAAACCACCTCCCCCCACCAGAAAAAAAGCCAGATGTGGTTCTGTGGTTCAAGTGGTAGTGCCTCAGCCTTGAATGAAAGAAGCTCAGGGATGACACCGAGGCCCTGAATCCAAGTCCTAGGGCTCAGAAAAAAATAATACAATAAATGAATAGTGGGCACCTGTTATCTTACTACTAAAAAAATGGATTCAGTCTTCTCTTTGGTACTTGTCGCCAAAAGTAAGGGGCTTCTTTGATGCTCCTCTAAACCTCCCCTTCTCTCCATTAGCTCTCCAGGCTTCAGTTTCAGGATAGAATTCAGATCATCCCACTCAATGTGACCTTATATACCTTCCCCTAAACACCTTCCTTGGGGTGGGGATTCTGGATGTACTCACCACTGGGAGGATGAGGCACTGCAGAGATAGGGGTAGGTATCCCTGAAACTCACACACACATGCACTCACACACACACACACACACACACACACACACACACACACACACACACACACACACACACACACACACCTAGGCCAACACAGACTAGCCTTTTTCAAAGGCACCTTATCTCCTTGTATTAACTGACCTAGCAGAGGAACTTGATCCTTGTAAATGACTATTTTAACTATGGCTTGCTTGTTGGCATGAGATAAACAAAGAAAGGGTCTGGTGCCCATCACCTCTGGCTCAGGTACACGTCTGACACCCTGGCTACTTAGGAGGCAAATATCTGAGGATCAAAGATCAAAGCCAGCCATAAGGTGGAAAGCTGGTGAGAATCTACTCTCCATAGAACCACCAAAAAGTTAGAAGTGGAGTTGTGGCTCAAGTTGTGGAGCACCAGCCTTAAGCATGAAAACTCAGAGAGACTACTCCCAGAACATGAATTCAAGCCCACACACAAAAATGGCCCCATCTTTTCATCCCCAGACTGCCTGGGCAATGAGTGCCCTCTCACAGTGTGTGATACAGCACCGATCCTAGGTAGTGTATCAGAGCCTTCAGAAATTGGATGGTGGAAGCCAGGCATACTCCTTCGTGTGCTCTTAACCCACACCAGCTGGAAGACAGAGCATGACAAAGCATGCAGCCTGCAGAGCAGAGAAGATCTTGCTCTGTCAGGGCGATTGGCGCAGGCTTTTTAGAGGCAGCACTTGAAAGGGGGTCTTTCTTAACAAAGAGGATCTGACAGGAAGCACAGAGAGCAAGACGCTGTAGATAAATTACAACATAGTTGAGCATGTTTATTTCCAGCCAGGGCTGCTGGTGAGAAACTCAATATTGATGTGAAATAGTATCCCGAGGCAGGCCCGAGGGTTCACAGAGGAACAGCTATCCAGGGTTGGGATTGTGTCTTAGCAGTAGTGGGCTTGCCTAGTACACAGGTAACCCTGGGTTCAATTCCTAGGTCCCACATACACAGAAAAAGCCAGAAGCGGCACCATGGCTCAGGTGGAAGAGTGCTTGCCTCTGTCAGAAGAAGCTTCTAGACATTGCCCAGGCCCTGAGGTCACGCCTCAGGACTGTGAAAATAAAATAGCACTCAGATAGACCTTGGTGACAGGTGGTTGGCTATGCCCTGTAGCTCTTAGTAAATCCATCCATGCTTAGTGTCTCCTTCTTTGACAGAGGGGAGCTGGATATTCCTTCTGCCCTGGACACCCCTGGAGGTGGTTATCAGCAACCCTCCCAATCTTCCACCGCGGAAATGGCCCCAGAAATCCTCAGGTACAAGTTGGATGGAGTTCGGGGGATACAGGGCAAACCCCTAAAGTCCTACTGGGTCTGACCTGTCACAGAGGACCAGTCCATCCAGAGCAGGCAGATGGGAGCTTAGAGAGGGGTTGAGATGTGGAGGAAGCTCTTTAATGCCCATGGCCCTAACCAGATTCCAAGCCTTTCTTTGCTTTCTGTGAGGGAGATAGAGGAGTGTCTAGGTGGTAGTGTATAGAGGAGGACTAGATGGAAATTCGAAAGACTGAGACACCGTAAGCCTTGTGCTGGTGGCTCACGCCTGTCATCCTGGCTACTCGGGAGGCTGAGACTCATTTCCCAGCCCAGGCAGGAAAGTCCCATGAGAGTGTCATCCCCAATCTCCAAACAGAAATGGCACCATGGCTCAAAAGGTACAGATCTGGCCTTGAGCAAAAATCATCATCAGGGACAGTTCCCAAGCCCTGAGTTCAAGCCCTTCATCAAAAACAACAATAACAAAAACCAGAAAGACAACCTTGCTTGCAAGTGATGGTGAAGCAATGGGGGTTCTGTCGTTGGGAGACCAGATGCTAGCCTAAGTGTACAGAAATTTCTAAAAACTCTCCAGGTTTGACCCAGTGTGAAGTCACAGCAGGGTGGGCATTGCCTTACTAACAACTCCAGAAGTCCTGGCCTGTCTTAGGCATGGAGTGGGCTAATGGGAGCAGGGATGGGTGGGTATTGTCAATTATATTCTCTTCATCCATGGAAATATAGTTTTGGATGCTAGTGTCAAAGTCTGAAGTGAAGGGTTGCATGTGGTTTGTAGCCTGACAAGTTGGGTTTCACCTGGCTATAAGAAGGTAACTAAAGCCGGGTGCTGTTGGTGGCTCACAACTGTCATCCTAGCTACTCAGGAGGCTGAGATCTGAGGCTTGCAGTACAAAGCCAGCTTTGGTAGGAAAGTCTGTGAGATTTTTATCTCCAATGAACCACCAGAAAACCAGAGGTAGTGCTGTGCCTCCAGTGGTAGAGCGTGCACTTTCAGCTGAAGAGCTGAGGGACTGTGTGCAGGCCCATAGTTCAAACCCTATGACCGACAACCAAAAATAAGGTGGATGAGTTTTCTGCATAGAGTTGTGTACAGTAGGAAATGCCATGCTGTGTTATGAGCCATTCCAGACGTGTGAGAGGCTGAGATTTGTCTACAGTTGGTCTGAGGATGGTAGTGCCATCTACTCAGGGTTTGGCATGTTCTGGTGCTCAGGGCCTGATGAGGCCTTGGGCTACCCTTATGTGTGTGTGTGTGTGTGTGTGTGTGTGTATGTGTGTGTGTGTGTGTTTCCCTCATCTTTCTCTGTCCCCTTCCTGGGTGCCTGTCTTCCTCTTCCTGACCTTGGATCTTGCCCCTCTTCCATTACAACCTTGCCTTTAGCCCCCAGGCAGGGTCTACAATGAGTCCTAAATTGCCAGAGACCTGTATAGTCCAGCTTTTCATTGGGGCCCAAGTCCGGCTGTCCATATCTTTGGCCACCTCCATGGGATTCTGTGTCAGCAGGGCCAGCTGGCATAGGTTCTCCCTTACCTCTGGAAGGGTGGGGTTCAGTCATGTGATGTCTTTTCCTTTTCCTCAGCTGGGCCTCTGGCTGCATGTCCCTCCCAGCAGCTGGCAGTGGAGTGGGGGAAGGGTGGTTGCCAGTGGCTCTGACCAACTTGAGCTTGATAGCTGAATGAAGGCTGCCCAAACAAGAAGGATCTTGGGCTGCATAGAGGTGAGGCCCAGGTGGCTTGGAAGTATCTGTTGTTGTCTAGGAAATGTCAACAAACTTTATCACAGCCAAGTCTATCTCCCAGCCCCAGCTTGACCTCTCAGTTCCTTCTACACGATTCCGGATACCCAGAATACAGAGGCACAGACATAAGATTCCAGGGCCAGGGAACTGGGGGATGAGAGACTGGTATGGCCAGTATCTCAGTGTTCTGGGGCATTAGCCTTGACCTGGTTATGCCTTCCTTGCGTAAGTTCACTTCTTAACCCATGGCTGGCCACACACCGGCCATTTGTGGAAGTGCTATGGAAATGGCAAGAGCAAAAGTGAGATCTAGTATGACCAAAATCTGGATTTATGGTCTGTGGGGGTGGGGAAGGTAAAGGGTGTATATTAAAAAAAAAAATCTCAGAGCTGGAACTCAGGGCCTAGGCACTGTCCCTGAGCTAACTCTCTACCACTTATATCACAGATCACTTTTCACCTTTTTTAGTAGTTAGTGGAGAGAAGAGTCTCACAGACTTTCCTGCTTGGGCTGGGTTCAAGCTGCCATTCTAAGAGCTAAGCCTCTTGAGTCGCTGGAATTGCTGGTATGAGCAATTGGCTCCAATTAAGGATGGTAGTGGATGCATGTGCTTGCGTGCATGTTTGCGTGCATGTGCGCATGCATGTGTGCATGTGTGCATGTGTGTGCGTGTGTGTGTGCGTGTGTGTGTGTGTGTGTGTGTGTGTGTGTGTGTGTGTGTGTATTTACCAGGACTTGATCTCAGAGCCTAGGGGATATCCTTTAGCTTTTTTGCACAAGGTTGGTGTGTACCACTTGAACTAGGGTATCTCTGCTTCCCAGCTTTTGGTGATTCATTGGAGAGAAGAGTCTGCCCAGGCTAGCTTTGAATCTTGATTGATCCTCAGGTGTCAGCCGTGAGTAGCTAAGATTATAGGCATGAGCCACTGGTACCCAGTTGCAAGGATGTCTTTTCATATGCTCTTCTGTTCTAACAGCTGTCTACTTCCCCTGGCCTAGATCTCTGACCTCCACTTCAGCTCCCAGCATCCCGTGACTGTGTGGAGAACATAAACCTCTAACCTAATCCCATTTCTTTGTACTCAAGGGAGGGTATGTTTCTTCTGTAGCCTGGGGAAGGAGGGTAGCTGTAGATGGGCGCTCGGCTGGGGGAGAGGTAGTCTGTTTCAGCCAAGAAGGAAAGTGTGGCCAGATGCTAATAGCTCATGCCCTCCTAGTCCAAGCTCCTCAGGAGTCTGAGATCTGAGGATTGCCATTCAGAGGCAGCCCAGCTAGAAAAGTCTGTGAGACTCTCCTCTGCAACTAGCCACCGAAAAGCTGGAAGAAAAGCTGTGGCTCAAGTGGTAGAGTGCTAGCCCTGAATGAAAAAGTTGAGGCACAGAGTTCAGGCCCTGAGTTCAAGCCCTAGTACCAAGATGTGTGCAAGTGTGTGCATGCATACATACACACACAGACACACACAGACACACACACACAGAAGATGGTGGTAATGATGAGCTCAGCTACAAAACTGGGGGCACTCCTGAGGCATAGTCATAGTAAACTCTCAAGGCAGATCAAGTAGTTTTTCCCTAAGTCATTCTTGGGCTGAGGGGTCTGGGTCATGGCAGTAAGTTCCATGGAACCTGCCCCTCTATCCATGCACAGGGCCACAGGACCAAGGGAAGCCACTATGAATGCTCATTTGTAGTCAGCCCATGATTGCTCCGAGTACTGGTGAGGAAAGTAAGGCTCCGAGCCCTGTGACTCCTGGGATAGAGACTGCTACCAGCAGCAGCCTGCTGGCTGTGGATACCTGAGACTACAAGTCTTTCATGAGCCCAACTCAACACCTGCCAAATGTGTGCCTGACAGATTCACACTCTTGTGATACTCGAGTGAGTGGGCATTACCTGCTGTGCCATCTTGCAGCTCCTGCCCCTTCTGGCCCAGAACTTTGGTCTGAGGTCGATTTATTGCTCAGATCCAAAGTGCAGCCATGACAGATGCCATTCTGATGAAGAGATTAATGACCTCCGTGCTCAAGGCTCGAACCTTCTCTGATACTGTGGCCTGCTCTGTAGGCAAAGGCCTCCAAAGAGGCTGCTCTCAAGACTTGTAGGACACCTAGACATTGGGAGACCCTCAGTGGCCCACTGGAAAGTACTCCGCCTAGATCCACAGAGTGAGGTCCAAGCAGGCCAGGTGTTGGTCATGGGACTTGAACTCTGGGCCTGGGGCCTGTCCCCCAGAGGTTTGGCTTGCCACTTGAGGCACAACACCAATTCTGGTTTTCTGAAGGTTCCTTGAAGATCAGAGTCTCCCAGACTTTCCTGCCTAGGCTGGCTTTGAACCATGATCCTCACATCTCAGCCTCCTGGGGAGCTAGGAGAACAGGTGTGAGCCACCAGTGCCGGCTGATCTGGCCTTACACCACAGTAGACTAGGAGCTTCTGAAAGCTTTTCTTTATTTTTTTAGGTGCAAGTACTGGGGCTTGAACTCAGGGGTTAGGCTCTGGTCCCTTAATTTTTTCCCTCAATTTTAGCACTCTGCCAATTGAGCCAAAGCTCCATTTCTGGCTTTTGGTAGTTCATCGGCAAGTAGAGTCTCACTAACTTTCCTCCCCTGAGCTGGCTTGACCCACAATCTCTATCTCAGTCTCCTGAGGAGCTAGGATTTACAGGGGTTGAGCCACTGGTGGCATTGGGCTTTTCTTAAGCAAAAGTTCTTCCCTGCATTTGCCCTGACTTCTCCATGCAAAGGAGGTCTGAGGGTCAGGAGCTGTGAAAAATAAGCTTCCAGCCACAGGAAATGTCAGGTGTCTCTGGTAAAAAGCCAACTGATCTTCCCCCTGGGCCCCATTCTGGGACCCCACCCTCTGCCCTACCTGTGACTCAAATATAAACCTTGACCCAGCCTTGAATGTCCTACCAGACTTGTCTGAAGCCACAGAACCTTCATTCCACCCACACCATCTGCTCTAAAGCACACCTCAGTACCTTTGCCCATGCTGTACCTTCTGCCTGAGGCCCTCTGTCCTGAATCCACATCTTAGAACTCCTGTGGAATTTTGGCATTGGATATATCACCTCGTTGAGCAAGTCTTTCCTTCCCTTCTACCTCTTTTTTTTAATATTGAGTTTCTAGAGATGGAACTTGTGCTGGCTGATTGGCAAATGCTCTATCGTGTGTGTGTGTGTGTGTGTGTGTGCGCGCACACATGTGTGTGCCAGTCCTGGGGTTTGAATTCATGGCCTGGATGCTATCCAATCCCTGAGCTTTTGTGCTCAAGGCTAGTGCTCTACTACTGAACCACAGCTATAAGTCTGGCTTTTTGGGTGTTTAATTGGAGAAAAGTGTCTCATATAGACTTTCTTGCTTGCAATTGGGATCATCATATCTCAGCCTCCTGCGTAGCTAAGATTACAGGGGTGAGCCACCAGCACCCGTCCTCTACTCTACCTCTTATCTATAACTTCAGCCCTCCTCTGAGTCCCAGAGCAAAAGATCACACCTGGATGAATTTTTTTCTTTTTTGTCAGTCTTGGGGATTGACCTCAGGGTCTCGGCATAATCCTGAGCTACATTTGCTCATGGCTATCTTTCTATCACTTAAGCCACAGTAGCACTTTTGGCTTTTTCTGTTTCTGTGGTACTGAGCAATCAAACTCAAACCCAGGGTTTGTACATGCGGGCTAGGGAAGCACTCTAGCACTAATCTCCAATCTCAGCCCAAGGTTCCCTTCTAACAGGAGTTATGAGGGTGGGGTTTATTGGCTTACCCCCTTTGGTGTAGAAATCTCTATTTCATATCTTTGCCATGATTTGGGACCAGACTGTGACTCGTCAATGAGGAATGATAAATGAGTGATAGCCACAGGCCCCAGAAGTCTAGCCTCACATCCTACAGAAGGATAGAGAATATGGAGCCAGAACCTTTGACAACTCCTACAGCCTAGGAACTGTGCTTTCCCTGGAGACAGTGGCTGGCTGCATGGTGTCCTGATGGGACACCTCGGCCAGAATATAAGGCTTCAGTTCTTAAATGGCAGAGATGGATGCTTTGTTCATGTTGCCCGCTCAGACTTTGTACTCTCTGAGGGCTTGTCCCAGATTGCCCAGGTTGGGGGGCTGGGCATGGGCAACCTGCTGAATGCCTATTGTCCATACCCAGATACATGGAGTTATTGCCTCCTTTTTTTTATTTTTGGCAGGTCCAGGGTTTTACTATGAGCCAAGGTTCTGTCCCTGAGCACCTTTTGCTCAAGAGTAGTGCTCTGCCCTTGAGCCACAGCCCCATGCATGGTTTTTTTTTCCCCTGTGATCTCTTTGAAAGAAGAGTGTCATGGACTTTCCCACCCTGGCTGAATTCAAATTGGCATTCTCTACATCTTGGCCTCCTGAGGAGCTAGGATTACAGGTAGGAGCCACTGGCACCTTGCTTACTTTTCTTCTTCTTTTTCTTTTTTTTAATGGTAACAATCTGAAGTCTTCACGGTGTCATTCCAATGGTTTGCATTATAATTAAACGACCCAGGCCTGGAGTTTGAATGCTAGGACAGCCATCCACAAAAGGAAGGAGAGCCTGACAAACTTATTCCTGTTCATGTGAATGCTTATGGAGTGTTATTAATGTAACAATAAATGTGCAGTGGATTCATGACCCTATTTTAGAATGCCACACAAAAATTATTGGGTTTATGTTTTCCATTCTAGCACCATGGTATAGTTAAGGATATTGATTAATTTTTAATTAATATTTTTATAAGTATTCAACCCGGATACTTCATTAAATGGAGGCAAAATTTATTAACTAATAATTGGTAATAACATATATAATTTTATATCCTCACAGCCCACTCTCTGTATATGTATATATATGTATGTATGTTTATGTCTATCTCTCTATCTACTTCAATCTACATATTTATCAAAATATACATATATATATATATGTATATATATATATGGGGCACTACTTTGTCTTGATCACAGGTCCTCAGAACTTCCTGGCCGCTCAGTTTTCAGGAGGCTGGTCTGCTAAGACTGTAACCCTATTTATGGATTGGGCATTGTAGGCTGTGAGATGAAATCCCAGCATGGCCAAAAATGTATTCATGGAGTAAGAAGCCAATTTTGACACATTATTTTCCTTCTCTGTGAAAGTCCTTGGTCTCAGTATGATGTATAATCCATATGCAACTATATCCTATGTGATATGATGTAATAAAAGAAATGTTACATGTGTATATACTAAATACTAAATAAATAAGGGTAATAAATGTCATATGAACTAACCCATGTATGTAAACAGATCTCATATATTAATATTAGTTTTTCCAGTGCTGGTGCTTCAATTGAGGCTCTGGGAACTGGTCTGAATTTCTTGTCTTCAAGGATGCTGAGCCTTTCCTCTTCACCCAGACCCTGAGTGCAAATCCCAGGCCTACTAGAAAAATGGTGCAAATTCCAAACCAGGGCCTTATTACTATTATTATTATTATTATTATGGCTAAGCACGGGGCTTGAACTCAGGTCTTGGCATCTTTGCCACAGTTGGTGGTGGCATCCTAGGACCCGAGTTCAAATCTCGGGGTTGAAAAAGAAATAAAAAACTGTAAAGGAGAAGCCTAAAACTGAGAAATTCAAGGAGGTAGTTTTCCTTTTTTTTCCCTTTGTATTGTGAACCATCCTGGGTCTAAACGACAAGGCCCAGAAAGCATACATTATCTTGCATTGCTGATGTTTGGCGGGGTATTAGGGAAGCCATAGCCAAAACCAGCAACTTAGGCCTGGAGGTCGAATGCCAGGACTGACACTAATGAATGGAGATTCTCAGAAATCTATTCCCATATACAAATGGAATGTTATAAAATTAAAAATTAAATTAGTAGTTAGTATACGATATTATAAAATTATACACAATTATAAAATATTGACTAATTTTCAATTAATACTTTATTATTTATTCAATCATGATACTTAAAAATGGAAGGAATAATTTAATTGCCAATAATCGGTATTAATATTGTATATGCAATTTCATAATATTCAGACATCTCTCTTTTGTTTTATACATATACATCTATTTGTCTATCTACCAATCTATACATTTATCTGTTCATACAATTGTCACTCCTGGGGCTTAATGATAGAATGTACACCTAGTAAGTACAAAGCCCTGCATTCGATTCCTCACTACTGTGTACACAAAAAAAATCCAGAAGTCATGCTGTCACCCAAGCAGTCAAGCACTAGCATTGAGCATAAAAACTAAAGGACTGTGTCTAGACCCTTACTCAAGAGCCAGGACTGGCACCAAAAAAAAAAAGATAGAATGTTCTAACTGCAACAATGTAAGTATAGTACTACAAATACCTCATCACAAGTATAGGACTACAAATACCTCATCACAGAGCAAGCTGGGAGTCTGGTGCTGACAGCTGCCATCTAACCTGACAAAATGTCCCATGATACTATTATCTTATATTCACCACTTAGAAACTTGAAGTGGAAGCTGGGCATCGGTGACTCATGCCTGTCATCCTAGCTAATCAGGAGGCTGAGACATGAGGATCATGGTGCAAATCTAGCCTGGCCAGGAGATTCCTTGAGATGCTTATCTCCAATGAACCACCAGAAAGCCTGAAGGGGCGCTGTAGCTCAAGTGGTAGAGTGCTAGACTTGAGCGGAAGAGCTCAGAGACAGCACCGAGGCCCAGACTTGAACTCCTCCAACTTACAAGAAAGAAGGAAATCTGAAGTGGAGTGCTGGGAACTTGTGTTTAGGGTAGAGTGCTTTGCATGTATGCAACCCTGGGTTTGAATCCTAAGTAACACATCCCTAGAAAAAAAGTCTGAAATGGCTCTCTGGCTCAAGTGCTATACTTTAGCAGGTGAAACAGGTACAATGCTCGTGTCCTGAGTTCAAGCTCCAGGATTAGTGTATACACACACACACACACACACACACACTCACACACACACACACACACACACAAACACAGAGCAGAAGTAAAGTTGTGACACAAAATGGTAAAGCACCTGGATTCTGCTCTGAGCTCATGGACATCATCCTGGCCCTGTGTTCAACCCCAAAAACTAGCCAACCAAGGCCTGACTAGGAGAGGACAAAGGTTTCAAAACCTGATAAGCTTCACCAGACCTAGATGACAGGAAGCATTGTGATTTTGCACAAGTGCTTAGATTTAGCAAACTTCCAGAATCTTAGGGAGGCACCCCAATTGACAATCAGGAATCTTTTCATTAGGTTCAGCTCCCTAGTTGTCTGCCAGAACTCGAATTAATCGAAGCAGTTTGTTTCAACATTGGAACATAGTCTCACAAAGACAGGACAAGTGCAGGGAACTTGGCTTGTCAAAGGAGGTGGCACAATTGAAGGCTTCCTGTCAAAACAGAGCACTGGGGAGAGAGTTAGCTTGGGGTACAAAGAGGCCTTTTTCTCCTGGCCTTCAGAGCCCATCCACACTCATCCTCACTAATCGCCCCCAATAAATTGTTTGCTACACAGCTGTACAGGAGTGAAACTTTTTGGCTGCCTGTTCCAACAGTGAGGCCGGCTTTCTCCAGCAGCCTGGGGTGCGCAGAAACCCTCAGGATACCCTGGGAACAGTGAGGGGAGCCCAGGAACATGCACTGTCTTGAAAACACTGTCTGTGCTATGAAATCATTCTATTCAAAGCAAATTTCCTAGCTGTGTGACTTTCTTCATAGTGGCCATGGATGTTCACCGATAGAAATACATGCATACACACACAGACACATAGAGTTAATGGCTCTTTTTTGTGGCTTTTTAATGGCTTTTTGTAATGCCTTTTTTTTTTGAGGCTTGAACTGTGAGCCTAGACATTGTCCCTGAGCTCCTTTTGCTGAAGGAAGCACTTTATTGTCTTAAACCATGATTACCCTAGGCTGGGGTACAGCATTTACACCCACAGATGATACGGGGATCCTAGGACCCAAGTTCAACTCCCAGCACTGGCAAAAATACATCAATCCAAAAAAAAAAAAAAAAAAAAAGAAACAGAGGAAGAAAAATCCAAGAAGTTTTACACAACCATTTTACCACTTTTTCCTTGGCACTGTGACCAACCTGGGTCTCAATGACTTGGCTGGAAAATTGTATGTCACCTTGCATGGCCTAAGGCTTGTGGGCTGTTAGTGAAGCCTGAGCCCAACAGAGACACCTAGGCCCTGAGTTCCATGATCCTGGGACTGCCACCTACACACAGCTGAAGATCCTAGGAGACTCGTTCTTATCTATAGGAACATTAATAGAATGTTTGACATATACTACTTAATTACTAATTGGCTAGTCTTTCTATTATAAGATTGTATGCAATAAATATAAGTCATTGATTAATTTAATTAGTACCTTATTAAGTCTTCCACCATGAGTAATTAATGGAGGTATAGTATTAGAACTAATAATTGGTAGTAATAGAATATATAAAAATAAGATATAGACAGACATCACTTTATATAGAGTTATACACTAGAATCTACATAAATGTCTGTCTCTCTATATATATGCATTTATTTATAGATGAATATACATATGTAAATACACACACAGCAATCTACACATCTATCTGTTTATGTATTGGCCACTCCTAGGCATTGATCTCAGGTCCTGAAATTTGCTCACCAACTTCACTTGCATCAGACTGTTG